TAGTGAAGACTTAGGGTCTGCCTGCTATTATCGTTGTTGCGTCTTCAGCAGTGATCCTCTTCTTTTGTGGAGATTCAACAGGCAGCTTTCCTTTTCGGATCAAAGCATATATGTGCTCAACATCTTCACTGTCATTGTCGTCATCATCATCCGAGCCAGACTCCTCGCTATCCGTGCCCACGCTCTCGGATGCCTCATCGTCAGTGTTTGTTTGGGCATCACTTGACGACTCATTGGCAGTTTCCTCAGCGTCTGTTTCGGTGCCCTCAGCCGCCTGACTCGTCTCTAGAGAGTCGTCAGACTTTCCTTCATTGGGCGAACCGGCCACTGGTTTCTGTGGCTTTGGGGCTCTCTTAGGACCCTTACCTACACTCGGCTTTGTCCCCGGGGTAGGTCCAGCTGGGTTTTGCTGAACCATAGGGACAGTTCTCTCAAGGGCTTCCTTGTACTGTTGAACTACTGGATTTGAGGATTTGGCTAAGTTGGGCAGAAACCCGGGGATCCGCAGACCGAAGACAGGATTCTTGTCTGCTTTGAAGTACTGCAACTTCGGGGCATTGTAGTGTGGATCCGAGCTGCGTTTTGGGATCGAAGAGTGCTCTGCCATGCAGTCGTTGATGATTAGCCCGAGCCATCTTGCGTATGGGATGGTACCTGGTATGTTCTTCTCTTTCGCTTTGACCAGGTCCATTAGCTCTGAGAAGAAGAGCTGTGCCAAGTCGTAGTTCTTGTTGAATGCTTTGCCATGAAATATTAGCAGGATCTGCTTGTTGCACTTGTCGAATCCGGCATGCTTCGGCGACAGGCACTTGTTCACCAGCCCGAAGAGGCTCTTCCACGGATGATGAAGATATGCTCCGTTGAAGTTTGAGAGTTGTGGCAGTAAGGAGGTGTAGCCGAGGGATGCCACGTCTTTCAGTAGATCGGGGATGGATGGCAGCGCATCATATGTATCTCGGACTGGCAGCGCTAATGTAGTACGCAGTGTAGATGGTGTCAGAACCACGCGCATGCCGTTCAGTTTGGTCTTTATCTTGGAACGATCCTTCGGTGATTCCGTATGCATGTGACCCCAAAACTGTTGTAGGTATATCTTTGGCACAGGTTTTGCGTTGTGAAGTGCAGGCCAGAGATAGTGACCTTTCATGATTGCTGGAATCACTGGATTCTGGCACTTGAACACTGTAAGGTCTAGCTGGAAATTGTTGTCCAGCACCTTGATCCATTTCCCCTTGGGGTAGATGGCATCGTCAATCTGCATTTGAGTTGTTCCTGCCATTATAAACTGTAGAAGCAGGGGATCAGCATATGAAATTCAACTGTTTGATTAGATTGAAAGAGTTTGATTTTTAGGTTTCAGATAAGTTTATGCAGGTGGAATTTAGAAAAAATTGCAAAGTCCAAATCTCGAGATCTGAATCTCGAGATCATGATTTCGAGATTCAAATCTCGAGATCAAGATGTCGAGATGCAGATCTCGAGATCTTGATTTCGAGATTTAAATCTCGAGATCTTGATTTCGAGATTTAAATCTCGAGATCAAGATGTCGAGATACAAATCTCGAGATCTTGCTCGAAGATGAATCGACGATCTCGAGATCTTGAAAACCAAAATCTCGAAATCATAGATTTCGAAGAGATGAATCCACCTGCAAAGATATAAACACGAAATACCAGAACGATAAATAACAAGATGTCGACCTATTATCAAACGAAACCCCCTATTTTTGATTTTGATTTTGAGAAAAGGCGATCGTTCTGCGAGAACGTTTGTCCGTTGAAAGTGTTTTTATGGATCTCGAAAACGATCGAAGTACTACCTTAGTAAGGTTGTCGTGAAAGAAACGGAGAAGGGGAAGGGTTTGCGAAAACAGAAGTTTTGAGAAGACGAGGAGCTCTGAGATGCGAAAGTTTCAAGCCTTTGCGAAAAGATTAGAATGGGAAGAGAAGGGATTTTACGAGGCTTATATACGCGAGAATATTTTTGGACCTCCTTCGAAACAGTTGAGCCTAAATGTTTGGACTAGCACACAATGCCCTTTTTAAAAGATTTTCGAGGCCCAATACCAGTAAAAAATCCTTAGTGGTCTTGAGATGGAATTCACTACTTTGAATCCTTTAATAAGATTCCTTAACAACATTCCATGACATGTTGCGTTGTACACCGCAACATGTTCGTTCATCATTGTTGAAGTAGTCGTAAGTCTTTGGTTGTGGCTTTTCCAAGATATTGGCCCACCTGACAGCAAGAAAATGTATCCCAAAGTGGACTTCCTATCATCTTTGCACTTAGCAAAGTCAGAATCGGAATATCCCACCACTTCAAATTATTCGACCTCTGATATGTAAGTTTGTACTCCTTAGTCCCTTGAAGATACCGCAAAACTTTCTTAGCGGCTTTCCAATGATCTACCTCTGGGTTAGATTGATATCTTCCCAACATACCGGATACATATGCAATATCTGGACGAGTACAAACTTGAGCATACATCAGGCTTTCAACTACGGAAGCATAAGGAATGAGTTTCATTTGCTCTTTCTCAACATCAGTTTTTGGGCATTGGGATGACCCAAAAACGTCTCCCTTAACTACTGGAGCAACTGATGGAAAGCATGATTGCATGTTAAAACGTTCTAAAATGCGCTCAATGTATGCCTTTTGGGATAAGCCTAACGTCCCTTTGACTCTGTCTCGGTGAATTTCGATGCTTATAACAAGCAGATTCACCTAGATCTTTCATGTCAAAATAGCCAAATAATAAGCGTTTTGTTTCATGCAATAAATCCAAGTCACTACTTGCTAATAAGATGTCATCAACATATAACACAAGTATGATGAATTTGCTCCCACTCATTTCGAGGCAGTGGCGGAACTAGGGGGTGAGCCGGTGCCGGCGCTCCCCCTTCTCCGGCGGTGGTTCTCTGTGTGTGTGTGTGTGTATATATGTATATGTATATATATATATATATATATATATATATATATATATATATATATATATATCAGCCTCAGTTTAGAAAGTATTCATATATTAAAGTGAAGTTGCTATTTGAATGTATGAGTTGTGATAGTTCAAATGGTAGGGTGGAGGTTGGGAGAGCTCTGTCTACCTAAATGGCCCGGGTTCAATTCTCAGGAGCAACAATATTTTTTGCTTTCTCCATTATTGCTTCTTTAGACTTTAGCCCATTTGGTAATTATTTATGTTCAATTAAATCACTCTAGGATGTAATGTAGTTTAAATCACACTTTTTGAATTTCTATATCTTTTATTTTAAATTCTCATTTCTTCAATTCAAATTAATTTTAATCATTTTTTCTTCTAATAATGACATATACGGACGTTGTCATTTAATGTCAAGAATAATTCTACAACTACTTTAAGTTAATATAAGTATTTACCTTTTGTTTAGTATAATAGCATTTTTATTTGAAACACACTACATATACATATATATAAGTTTCGGATCAAATAAAAAGAGTTCTTATCATGAAAATTGATCGAGAATAAATCTTGTGCATTTAACTTGAGATCCGATGAGTCAAAATCAGTCAACAATGCACTATATTTTATCAAAAACTCGGTGACAATTTGATAAATAAATCAAAATTTTCTCTCATTGTGAAAAAGTGTAAAATAAATATCTACTAGTGTACCAAAACGAGTAAAAAATGCGCCCGTTCTCATTTTCACGGGAATAACTTTTTTTATTAGAACCTCACTCTATATGTATTAATAATTATTTTCACTCGTTTTTATTTTATTCTAATAAAAAATTGTTTTTCAAAAAAAAAATATAAGAGCACCACCTCAAATTATTGTCTGGTTACGCCGCTGTTTTGAGGTAAGAGCATTGATCTACTTTGTTTTTAATGAAGCCATTTGATTTCATGACTTCATCAAATTTCAGGTACCATTGTCGAGATGCTTGCTTGAGTTCATAAATAGGCTTCTTGAGTTTACAACTAAATGTTCTTGACCCTTAGAAACATAACCTTCTGGTTGTACCATATAAACATCTTCGTGTAAATCTCAATTTAAGAAGACTGTTTTGACGTCCACTTGATGTAGCTAAAGATCACAGTGAGCTACTAAATCCATAACGACCCTTAGGGACTAGGGTATGGTTGGACTCGGGCCGGGTCGGGCCGGCGGTTCTATATAGTTGGACCCGAGACCGGCCCGGGTAGCCACCGGGTCCGGTCCGGGCCCGGGCCTCAGGTTTGGTTTTTTTTTTTTTTGCTTAGCTACCCATCCCTGACCCCCCCCCCCCCACCCCCCAAACCCCCCAAACCCCTCCTAAACATCAAGCCCAACCCGGTGGAGCCCAAACAAATGAAAAAACCCAAAAAAAAAATAAATTTGGCCCGGTCGGGTCGAGCCTTGTTATGGGTGACCCGAGCCCGGACCGGAAACCCACCGGGTCGGGCCTACCCGGACCGGTCACTGACCGGGCCACCAGTTCGGGTCGGGCTGGAACAGTACCGGTCCCGGGTCGGACCACCCGGCCCGAGTCCAACCATAGACTAGGGAATCCTTTCGAGAGATGGGTGAAAAGGTCTCTTGATAATCTACACCTTCCCTTTGAGTGTACCCCTTAGCGACCATTCTTGCATTGTATCTTTCAATGTTTCCCTTTGGATCTAATTCAATCTTAAAGACCCATTTGCTTCCAACGGACTTTTGACCCTTTGGTAATTCAGCAAGTTCCCAAACATTGGAAGAATGGCAGTGTACGCTCAACTGATTTTTAAAGAATCTGGTTGAATGCATCCCGCTTGCCCATGAGCTTTTGGACCTCTTTCATAGTTTCATATTGCAGCCTTGCAGGGAGGCTGCATTTGGATTATAGCTTGCACCTTCTCAGTATTGTTAGTAAATATCTTTTGGCATTAGTTACCTGAATTCCTCAATTTTGTATTTACAAAATCTGTCATCCATATATTGCCAACCGGCTTGGTTTTGTACACATATCCAAACCAAAATATGATATTTGGTGTCACTATTCCGAGTTCTGCAACTATAGGATTACCACTTAGAATAACTGGAAAAAAGACCAGTAAGTTTAAAAGTAAATGAAGTGTGCACCGATATCTACACGTCATCATTCGGATTCATACACTTCATAGTTCATACAATGATAAAATACATGTCAGATCCAAGCATCAATTGATTAAAACATGTTCAATTTAGGGAATATATTACAACACCAAGTTTATTTACCAGCTAATTTGACACACTCAGCGACACATGTACGAAAATGTTACAACACTAAATTTATTTACCAGCCAATTAGACAGACACTCGGCAGCACACGTACTACTCTTACTCGAGTAAAGTAAACGTAGTGAGATCAGATCCCCCTCCGCTGTGGAGGTGGCCATGGTGATGGTGGGGGTCAAAGCGCAAAGCTAGAATGCGGGCCCCTCCATTTGGAAATCCAAGAACAGAATTGTAATCGCCCCCTTCATGGTCAACCAGCCCGTATGGCTCTTCCTGTCTTGCCTCCTGCCATTCCCAAACAATTACTACTACATTTCCATTAATTGTTTTACGAAAACCATGCTAATGCTTTATACTAGTATTAACAAAGATGTATTTGTTGCGGCCAAAAGAAACAATTGAACTGCTCTCCTAAAGATAGAGCAGAAAAACAAATCATTGTGGCTAGAGAGCAAATATTTAAAAGGTAGAAACAACAGAAAATAAAGATGTAAATATTATAATTAGATGATTCAAACCAGAATCCAAAAAAAAATTGACTCGAACAACTTTAGATTAGAATAGACATGGGTATATATAGTTTTCAAATATTACATTGAAGAATGAATAATATGCGGGGTACATAAGTAACCATTTTGGTGTGTATGGAGTTCATATCAAGTGAAATCTGTTGGTAAAATCAGTTTAACCAACAATGATCTTGAACTTGCAAAAAAGTTCCAATTTATTTTAGACATCTCATAAAAGCACGTACATTAATATGTTTTAGGTACATAGTAAAGTTGCACTCAATGATAAAAACGTACCGATTGAAAAAAAGAAAACAACGTCTAAAAATCATATGAATTTGGCCAAAATTGTGTCGAAAGTTGAGTTTTTAATTTGTGCTTTTTTCGAAATATTTGACTCAAGTGAGTTCCCTTAGGGTAGTATTAGGGTCAAATGAAATGTTAAAATAGTTCAGATCTGATCATGATTTTGTTACAAATTTAGGGTCAGTTTCTTTAGTGTCTCAATAATCATAATGCATGCTGTGTTATTTTCAGTACAGAGCCAGATGAAGATGCAACTTACACATTCCAGTCTCAGGTTTCTATGGATTTCTTCCACATTCCTCACCTATAACGATATATGCAATAATGCAAACAGACATCCATCAGAACGATCAACACATATGCTTTTTAAAAATTAAATTGCACACACACACACACAAGTTTCAACTTGTAAGAGATCTTTATAATTACAAACAGTTTGTTGCAAAGTTATGTAGGAACATAACTTTGGCACATAGTAACAAATTGCTCTTAAAGAATCTGATGCAAATTAAGTCAGCACAATGTTCATAACAAATTAATAGTTTGTGCAGTCAGCAGAAAGAGACATCATACCTTCTTCTTGTGAGTCTCAATCTGGTTGGAAATCACCTTATACTGTTTCATTTAAAACATCATTGTAAAAGATTCAGAAAATAGGTAACAGAAGGACTCATGAAGCAAACATCATACAAATCCGTAGGATAAAAAGGTCAGATTATTATTTGCAATTCTTATGGAATCTGAGATAATAAAAGTAAACATATTTCCTTAAATTTGGACTCGGTCATGCAGCCTAGGCTACAATGTTTGATTAATTAAGACACTTAAACAAAGTACATCAACTACCCAGTTTTAAATGAAGTTGTGTAGGCTGGTAGGCTAGCCAACACAAAGCTGTACAGACTCTTTATTTGATTGTAATATTGAACAGTGAACACTGAACTTTGTATTTTTTCTAAAATGTGTAACATTTTTTAGGGATTGATAGAACTATAGAAGTGAAGCGCACATTAGATGATAACATTCTACACATTTTATGAATAAGATACAAAAACACGCTATTTCAAACAAAATCAGAACTAGTGTGTTTACTTAAATAGCTGAAGTTCAAGAAATAATGTGAGATATGTGTACATAGCAGAAGCTAGGGCCAGCTTAAAACCCTACAATATGCACGATTAATTGCTTAATTAATAAACCTTTCTGTCACGGATGAGCTTGAGAGAACCATCCACGTCTTCTATCAGCTCTGTCAACTGTTCAAGGCTCAGATCGTTCAGATTCTCACCCATCCTCTGCCTATTTATGCATATATAGCCAAGCAAACACTTAGAATTAAAAAAAAAACATAATACAAACATATTGCTCTATATGTTCAAAACAGGAGCATTATATTTGTTTCCCTAAATAAGAGTACGTTTTTGTCATCCTCAAAATTTATTGCCATATTTTGGCATTAGAAGGCTTTAAATAAGTTGTTATGTGGTCATAATTGACAGTACTTTCCAAGCATTACAAGCATTACAGTAATTACTTCTATTCAAAGAATAAACACATAGTGGTCCTATTTGGAATTCCAAAACCTTTTTAATCCAATTTAGGGCAACTTCTTATTTCATTTTTGTTAAACTTTACCTAACCTCTTGATATACTTTTAGCAATTTTTCTAATTTCTCTTTCCTACTTTTTGAATACTTTACTTTTTATCCGTCTTTTTCTTGACTAATACTTTTTAAATTACTCATCAGACCTAATTTTACCTTGACTAATACTCCGTAAAATTTAACGGAGGAGATTATACGTAGCATAATACTCCGTATTATTTCTACCATATACTTATTATTATTATTTTTATTATTATTACTATTATTATAGACATGCAAACCTGAATTACCTTATCTCTCTTCGAAGAGCCCGGTTAACATCTCTGAGTTTCTTCAACTGATCTTGCATTTTCTGCACAAACACATTTGCAAAAAAGTTGGCTAGAGAAAAAAATGATAGATCTGTAAATAAATAAATAAATAAATAAATAAATACTACCTCCATCCCATAAAATTCTTCCCACTTTGACTTGGCACGGAGATTAAGAAAGTGGAATAAAGTGAAAATGTATGGTTGTGATTGTGTAAGAAAAAGGTGAAATGAATGTGAACCACACACATTGTCCAAAAATGGTAAGTGGGAAGAATTTTTTGGGACGGTCCAAAAAGGAAAGTGGGAAGAATTTTATGGGACAGAGGGAGTAAATAAATAAATAAATAAATAAATAAATGACGAAGTTGAAAACATAATAATTATAATTTAATATAAAAACCTCATAGTGGGAGCACCAAATATCGATACCGAGGGTCTTCTGGTACTGGTCAAACAACTGCTTCGTACTGCATGGGTATATTTCACAAGATGATGATAAACTACAAATTTAAAAATAAAAACAGACAATAGGGGTATGTATATAAAATACCAGAGAGACGGGCTGATGTATTCATGGAGCTTTCCGGACATGGAAATCATGATGATGGAAACCTTAGCATCGCAGAGGACAGTGAGCTCATGAGCTTTCTTGAAAAGACCATTCCTTCTCTTGGAGTAGGTCACCTGCCTGTTTGTCTGGTTCTCTATCCTCTTGATCTGGATCTTCCCTCTAGCCATGCTTTTCTCTCTCTATTGTCTATATAGAAGGAGGATGGAGAGGAGTTGTTTAGTGAAGAGCTGGTGGTCAGGGGAAGGAGCTTTTCTACCCAATTTTTCAGGCTCTGTAATATGGAGTATTGTAATATGGAGTATTAGCATATACGGAGTACTACGTGTAAAAAGTATTTGGGCCCCCATCCCATTATGCGAGCCATAAGCCTAATTGCAACCATCAGTGAATAAAGGAAACCAATTTTGTTCACCCTCTCAAAAGAGCATGATGTTCACCCCACCCTAGTTGCCTGTTATAGTGTTATGTGGCATGGCAAGTCTTTATTACTACTATTTAGCAAAATGTATAAGTGAATGTACTTTGTTTTGACAGAATACTGCTGAAAATCATCCATTTGTATACAATTTCAAAGATGAATCATTCAAAGGATCCATTTTGGTGTTTTCCACCTCACAACAAATGAAATTTCCACATTTAAAACAGATTTAATTTTACATTCAATGAAGATGTGCCATCAAAAACATCTTCAGTGCTTGTGTTCTTGATATGGAAGAAGTTTTGATGATCTGTTCAATCTCAAGAAATTTTAACTATTTTGTACAATTGTATTGTATATACACATAAATTTTAACTTATAGTTACACACATTCAGTGTCTAAATTGTCTTTAAACTTTCAGAAACCATGTTACATCACCAACAAAGAAATTCTGAAATTCTAAGCGATGCATAAAAAATTGATCTTTATGGCGTTAAAACTCCTTAGTCGAGGAAAATAGTTTATCTAATAAAATACTACAGTACAAAAGTTTCAAGTTTCACTTGATGAATAAAAAAACAGTAAAATGACCTCAATCAAGAATAATAATGTCTTCAACAGATAAGTATACTTAAAAAAAAATGAACCATAATGTTGTAGAATGGTTTTAAGATTGATCAATAAAATGACCTCAATTAAGAATGGTAACGAGTTTATTTAAATCTAACAAAATGCAATACGTGAGATTTAGTCTCATGACTACTCAAATCCTCATCGACACACTTAGGTATTTAACTCCACAAATAGATCACCTTGTTTACATGGATTTGATCCAAATCAACCATAAAATAAACCATTTCTAAATGATAATCCAAATATTAAAAAATGCATTGGAGAAATATAAGGACTTGCAGTTCCTAGCCTTAGAATCCTCCCAACCGTTTTCTTATTATAAAATGACCTCAATTAAGAATGATAAAGAGTTTATTTAAATCTATGCAAATGCAATACGTTTGATTTAGTTTCATGACTACTCAAATCTTCATCTACACACTTAGGTATTTAACTCCATAACTAGATCACCTTATTTACATGGACTTGATCCAAATCAACCATAAAATCACCCATTTCTAACTGATAATCCAAATATTAAAAAAAAAAAGATTGGACAAATACAAGGACTAGCAGTTCCTGGCCTTAGAATACGCCCAACCGTTTTCTTATCAGATCGGACCTTATCAATCGAATAACTTTAAGAAGTATTTTAGAAAATATATAGAGAGAAGTACTTACTGATTCAGCGGGTTTGGAGATGCCGGGTCATCGTACTCCAAGGAAACGGAAGCGGCATATGTACTAACCCTAGAATAGCGAAGTAAGTACATGGTACGGAGTACTACGTAATATTTGGATTGTATGCCATTTTTTGGGCCGTAAAACATACCAGGCCTTACCGCCTTAGGCTTAGGTTGGGCTGCTAAAAAATAGGTCATACTCCTTTCCATTTTCTTCTCTCCATTTACTCTCTTCACTTCTTTTTCATTTTCTCTCTCTCCTTAAAAATAACTAGTTACTCCACTCGTGCGTTGCACGGGAGTGAAACACCCACATAATAATTTAGATATATAATTATATATTTAAATATATTTAAAAAATATGATTGTGTTAGAATTATTTGAAAACATTAAATAAATTCTGAATAAATGGTAAGCACTAAATGTAAAACATCACACGATGAAATGGATGTGCATTTAAGTCCAACACACTATAACGAAAATTATAAATTACTCTACAGTACATATTTCTTTGTAAACAACACTCAATGTTGATTTTGGTTGTCCATCTTCGTTATTACAAACTCCAATCCCATGAACTTGTTACTCTCCACACCGCCACGTACAAATGTTTGTGAGTAGTTATGGGGCGTCAGAGTAAGATGACAACCTTTTTTAACGATTGTTCGTGACTCTTATTAATGGTCATTGCAAACCTAATAATTTTAGGCGGAGAATGCTTAGGCGGGAAAATTTTCTCTCTACAGTCACTACAAGAAAATGTATCATTTACCTACGGATAGTTACCTACGGATTGTAATCCGTTGGTAACTCTAAAAATACCGACGATTGTACCCACGGATTCAACAATTCTAGGTTGTGATGTTCACCGAAGTAAATTCGTTGTAATTTACCTACCGTTATGACACCGTAAGAATTTTTTTTAAGACTTGCTTATACTTTCCTTAACTTTTTTTCCCAATTCCCCTCATCTTTGTAGACTTCTCCCGTACCACAAAAACCCTTGACGGTCTCTCACCGCCTACCTCCCTTCCTTTTTGATAGGAATACTTGGTAAAAGACTGCTGCACCCAACTAAATGTCGCCACCACCCAACAAAAAGCCTCGCCGGAGAAGATTACAATGACGCTGGAGAAGGAGCTTTATCGTACCGCCATTGTCATCGGAGGATCTGCTGCACCAGAGAAGGAACGGCAAGACCAAACTGCTAACTGAGCTTCTGTCCCGATCGTACGCCGGAGTTGGTGGCGTTGGTACTGCCGTCATTGAGCCCTTGAGTCGTGTCGGATCCTGGACTGACAGCGAGCACTCCTGGCTGCCGGGTCTCTTTGCTTGGTGACTGACTCTCTGCTGCTAGAATACTGACGATTCAATTCGTCAATACGCCGCGAGTCTCAGGTCTCCGTTGAATTTTGTCTCTAATGTATGCCTCCAGTGCTATACGTATTGATTTGTTTGTATTAATTTCTGTTCTTTTGTAGGGTTTGAAGAAGTTAGTTCTTGATTTGTTAAACAAAAAATCAGAAATAGAAATCTTTAAAATGATTGCAATTTCAATCTTAGATCTGTAGCAACCAATAATAAAGAGTACTCCAATATGTGCGTGTGTAACTATTGCTAGCATATAACATGAGCCTTTATACCCACATTTATGCATTCTTGGTTTTATATGCAAGGTACACCATCCTTAGCCTTCAAGGTTGCACAGATCGTCAAAATTTGAGTTTAAGTTGTAAATTATAGATGTTAGTGTAGTCTATTTTGCAATGGGGAGCAATTGGGGCATCTTCTTCCGTTCTTAGACAAGATAGTCGGCTAAATTATATACTTCTTACATAGTGAGTTTACAGTCTGATAGGTGATTGAATTATCATTTTTTTAATTCAAATGAGATAATTTTCTACTTCGTATCATTCTTGAATAATTATCATATTGGGATGTCTGTTTTTGGGTTTTGTTATAGTAATTGCTTACTTAATATTATGTAATTCTATTTTTTTTTTATGTAGGTACATTTGCTCCCCAAAAATAAAGTACGAAGAGTTTACTGTCAATGCTAGGATGATACCACTAGAGCAATTCAATGATGGAAGTGCTAGTGAGGTTAGGTCCACAAAGGATGAAATCAAATAACAATATAATGAGTTTGCTGAAGATGAAATGGAAGAGGGACATTTTGACTTGTGAGTTTACTTTGAGACTGTACAATTGCTCCTGAAGTGTTTTTCGGATGGTCACATTTACTAGCAGATGTTCTGCCAGCATTCTGTCTTTTATAGGGAAAGCTTTATTGGATTTTAGACTTGATTTATAGATGGATATTGCATTTATATATGTTATAAATATTCTATTTTTCGTACAGGAAGAGGAATTTGTTGGGAATATTTTATGGTGTTCAATCTAGTTAGTTATCTTTGTATTTGTGTAGTTATCAATTAAACGTGTAATACGGGCCACAAATGTGTATCAGCCCGGGGGCTTCCTTGTAACCCGTAAGTTAGCCAACTTCTCCTATAAAAGGAGGCTAACTTACGGGAACCCTAAGAATTGGATAGAGGCTGAGAGCGTAAGAGGCGAGATAGAGAGAGATTAGGGTTGTCGTTGCTCTCCTTCTCCAGGGAGAGCAGCGGACAGTTCATACGGTATACCAGATTTGGTTTTAATCTTGTTGATTTCTTCCTATCTGCTTCTTATTCTTCTTGCTATGGTTTTTGTTTGTTAAATTATGGGTTTATTAATTGGTATCAGAGCCGAGGCGTGAAACAGGTTGGATCTGTCTGCGATTTTTTGGATCTAACAAAGAACTACTCTGCTTTTCTTCTGTTTTTCTAATATGTAGAGATTTGCTCCTATAATCTTGTTTGTGAACGAAATTTTGTAAAAATCATATTGTTGGACTCGCCTTTCAAAATCGATCCAGCAGCATACCACTTTTTTTGTTTTCTGCAATTTTTATATTTCGAAGATCTCTACATTGAGATCTCGAAATCCTTATTTTTCACTGCTGCAGAAACGTTTTTGGCTTGAAACTGATATAGGAGAATCTCGACCTTCAGGGCTTTTCAGAACAGGTTTCAGATTTTCAAAAATCGATGTTTTCATTTTGCAGGATTTCGACATTGAGGATCTCGACATCCAAATCTTGAGATCGAGGTTTCGATTTTAAGGTCTCGACATCTGGTCTCGACATTTGACTTCTCGAAATAAGATTTCGAGTTTAACTTCTCGACATCTCAAATCTCGAGATTTACTTCTCGACATTTGAAATCTCGAGATTTCAAAACTCGACATCCTAATCTCGATATCAAATCTCGAATCCGGGCCTCCTTTATCGAAATCCTAGATCTCGATATTCAGATCTCGACATCTGATTTTCGACATTCTGTCTCTGAAAATCTTTTGGAATTTCGAGTTTTGGGATTTCGACATTTGGGATCTCGATATTTTGGATCTCGACATTCTGAAGATTTCGAGATTTTCAAAATTTCTAGATGTTTTGAATCTTTCAAAGTTTGCAGTTTCTTGGAACTCATAATTCGAATCTTGACATTCTTTGCAGTTCATCGTAGCTTTACATTATAGGATTTCTGAATAATTCCCTGCTTATAAATGTTTCAGGAGTTTTCGATGTTCTGATGTTTTTCAAACAGCAAGTTTTCGAGATTATGATGTTTTCGAAACTCCAAAGTTTTCGATGTTACAAACATTTTGAAATTATGCATATTTCGATATTCTGAGGTTTGTTTTGCAGGTGGATTTCGCCATTATTCTTCGAGGCAAACTCGAGATTGTAATCTCGAGATTTAAACCTTGAGATTAGGATTTCGAGGTATTGCCTTAGAATTTTGTTTAAAATCCACCTGCTCTCGATATTCAACATCGAGAACCTCATCTTCGAAGAAATTCCTCAAAAACTCAAAATTAGAGATTTTCTGTGACACCGCACTGTTTTGGCCATAACTTTTGACTCGGTGATCCGATTTGAGCAAACTTTTTTTTGTTGGAAAGATAACGAGAAGATCTACATTAATTCTGTGGCTATGTCGCAGGACCCTTTCTCACGCGCCCTCACTCGCAGTCTTTGAGGGTCAAAACCTTAGTTTTCTGACAAACATTGTAAATCACCGATGTCCAGGTCAAAACTTAGGCAAATCTGTTCAAATTATTTCATTGTCAACCCTGAGGTCAAAGCTTTTCTAAACTTCAATTTAAAGGTCAGAAAATCGTAGATAATTCAATCTACCTCGCGTCAACGGTCATCTTACCACAATCAACAATCAACTGCTGAAGCCTCCCCTGACTCGTCAACATTATGTGATCATCAATATGCTGCAATTCTACATGATGAGCTCAGGGAAACCGTCATGTGTGGTACATATTCAGATTGCTCCACACACATGGCGGGTATGACAAGCTGTGAGCAATCAAACCTTGCACATTCTGAGGGGGAGTTTCAGTTTTCTCCTCCTGGCGCCTTACACCGACAAAGCAAGGAATCTCTCAACGGATGCAACATTCTAGGGGGAGTGTTCAAAGTAATCCTCCCCGGTGCCTAACAATGACAAAGCATACCGAGTGCTCCAGTTGATGGGGAGTATAGAGAGAAAATGAAGAAAGTAATGAGAGAACATGTCTCTATGGCTTAGTAAACCCAACTAAGCCTACCCAAGGGACAAAGCCGAGCGTAAGTGCGTGAGTGAGCGAGTGAGTGAGTGAACATTATGAGCATTAGGAAGCAGAAGGCTCAAGTGAGAAGAAAAACAATTATCAATGATGAGTCTGCTACCTCAATTGCCTGCTATGAATTGAACATTTGCTCCTAGCCATATGATGAAATTACATTTTAGGATTTTAGGATTATAGGATGATGATTTTTTTTGTGGAAAGTGTAATTACATTTTAGGATTTTAGGCGTAGATTGCTTAGGCGGAAGAATTTTCTCTCTCCAGTGTAGTGCTTTTAGGTATAATAAGATGATTTTTTTGCGGAAAGTGAAATTACATTTTAGGATTTTAGGCGGTGAATGCTTAGGCGGAAAATTTTCTTTCTCCAGTGTAGTGCTTTTAG